GCGTGCACTCTTATTCCCCAGGTGGCCTGTTCCTATTGGCGATGGCGAAAGAAGTGACGTCAGCGCCAACGATGATTGACAGGTCAATTGGCCAATCACGGGTACCTACAAAAGTGAAAGTAACCGAGAGAGAGAGAAAGCGGGAAAGAAAAACACAAGAACACACACGCGATACGGGAACGTAACAGTCAGTTTTCAACATTGCTGTTTCACGATCTCAGTAGAGAGCATGAGCGTGCTAAACCTCGCAAAAAGCTGATTTTATTAGAGGGAAACATGACATCTAGAACAACAGCATCTCTAGAGAAATAGAGATGTGATTTTCTGCTTTGGACACTAGAGAGCGATGATGTGCTTGTTACATTTGCTAAAATATCCAGCAGGGCTTTTTGTGTGTGATACTGTAAATGCAATGATAAATATAAAATAAAAAATAAAAGAGGAAGAGTAAATGACAGGCAAAGAATCACAGTGAAGGGTGTTAGACACTGTTAGACTTTTCCAGGTTTTTTTTTTTTATTGTAACTGAAATATAAATTAAATTTCATAATTTTGAAATATAATTAATTTGCATTTTTATCCCACATTACTACTACTGACATTCCAATCAGTTAGACAAAATGATTACACAAAACCATTTTTGTATTTAAAACATTTGGTACCGCTCCCTTTTACAGTACAGTATTTACAGTGTACTTACCTAGAAAGTACTGGCTAATATAAGGTAAATACATGGAACAGGGGTAGGTTCAGGGTTAGTACTAGTTATTACCCAGTAATTGTAGTTACTAAAATAAGTACATAGTACGTGGGTAACAGGACTGTAAAAGGAAGCGTTACCAAACATTTTAAATATGCCAATGCTGGAAATTATGTGTTTACACGTGTAAAAATGAGGTGGGTGAGTTTAGGGTTTTGTGTTAATTTTAACGAAGTCAATCACTGCACACATTGTTTAATAAACAGTATCTTTGGTTGTTTAGCTTATTCAGTTAGTATATTGAAACAGCAACCATTACATTCATACAACTGCAGAATATAAATACGTGTCGTTAAGTAGTCAACAAAGAAATGTCCAATACAGGGCAAAACACAGTTCTTTTCACAATCCGTGACACACAACCCCACCTTCAAAATACATATTTCCAAAAATGTCTTGGATTAATGTACACTGGTGACCAAAAGAAGTATTTAAGTGCCTGAATGTTTTTAAAAGAAGTCTCTTTGCTGCTCAAGAAACTAGAGGAACATCCTGATGGAAACACCAGCATGCTGTTGTGTCTGATAATCACGTTACTATACGCTGGTGTTTTCAGCTGGAATCCTTTTATTTATGTTTAAGTCTATGCAGAACTTTGTGTTTTTGTTTGTAATGGCGTATAGCTTTGTGTGGTTAAAGAAAGTCAGTTAAAATCCTACGAGGGTTGATCCCTGAAATATCACCATTCTTATTCAAACTCTCAATCTCAGGAACTGAACCTGTAACGGAAGACACTGTGAATAAAAATGGCAACTGTATTGTCATTTGCAACATATTGTTGTTTTTTATGTTCTATACCTGTAAGTGGCTGCTGTGCAAGCACTTTAAGTGGTATAACGCATCCGAATGATGTTTTAAAGGATTAGTTCACTTTTGAAAAAACTTTTGCTGGTAATTTACTCACCCCCATGTCATCCAAGATGTCCATGTCTTTCTTTCCTCAGTCGAAAAGAAATTTAGGTTTTTGATGAAAACATTCCAGGATTTTTCTCCATATAATGGACTTCAATGGGAACCGGATGGTTCAAGTATCAAAAGACGGTTAATAACAGTTTCAGATGCAGCTTCAAATGTCTTTAAACGACACCAGACGATGAATAAGGTTATCATGCGAAACGATCGGTTATTTCAAAACTTATTCCAAAAATGTAACTTTTATAAGGACAAATGCTAGCCTTGCCATATTCTGTGAGACGCGTTTGCAACGTCACGTAATACGTAATTACGTTCAATAGGTCACGGGCGACGTAGCCGAAAGTACAGAATCAGTGTTTACAAGTTGAACGCATAGGTTGAACGTGCAAACTAACTCAAACACCGTTTACAAAAAAAGGAATTAAAAGGAAAAACAACGATGTCGGACGATTTTGACTCTGTACTTCCGGCTACGTCGCCCGTGACCTTTTGAACGTAATTACGTATTACGTGATGTTACAAACGCGCCTCACAGAATAGAGCAAGGCTAGCATTTGTCCTTATAAAAGTTACATTTTTGGAATAAGCTTTGAAATAACCGATCGTTTCGCATGATAAGACCCTTATTCATCGTCTGATATCGTTTAAAGACATTTGAAGCTGCATCTGAAACTGTTATTAACCGTCTTTTGATACTTGAACCATCCGGTTCCCATTGAAGTCCATTATATGGAGAAAAATCCTGGAATGTTTTCATCAAAAACCTAAATTTCTTTTCGACTTAGGAGAGAAAAACATGGACATCTTGGATGACATGGGGGTGAGTAAGTTATCAGCAAAAGTTTTTTCAAAAGTGAACTAATCCTTTAAGCTTTTCACTTGAATACACGAAATACTTCCGAAATCTCTGTTTCTTTTGTTTATCCTGTTTGATTTTCTTGTTCAAAGAGCTCGATGTCTTAGAGAACATAATCAGATCTCTCTGAACTCTGACATCTGTGTTTCCCGAATCAACTGCAGGATTTCGAAGTGTCACTGGTGTACTTTATTGTAAATGTTCTCAGGAAATTCATGTCAGTGTCTTAGAGTATTATAGGCCCCAGAAAAACACAACCTCAGTAGAAGACAGAACTTGGTGCCTTCCACTTTTTTTAAGGCATTTGTTTGTTGTTTGTTTTTTCAAGTTGCAACAGCAAAGTGAAAATGTGCTTTAAAATTTTATTTTATTTTCTGGAACGATGAAATGTCATGAAATGTGTGTTCATGCGACGAATGACATTAAAACTGATCTGTTTCAATCACAGCTGGAATCTGAGTTTGCTATCAGAAATATCTGAACTAAGTTAATCATTTATAGAGTGAGCGTCTCTGTACATTATTTACTGATGGACTCATGTTCACCTGTAACATTAGGATTCAACTTTTGACATTTACTAAAGCTAACTAGCTGTACAAATCAAATATGAACAATGTCTAATCAACTGTGATTTTTTTTTTGTTTATTTATATTGGAGGGAGGTGAAGGCTGTTCTAGGATAATCTTGTATATTTCACATTGATTGCATGTAACTGAGCGTTATGAATTTTACTTGTATAATAGTCCTTTTTTCCAGTGAAAATCACTGTTTCACATTGATCTCAGTCATATTCTGTTTTAGCAGCATTTATACTCAAAAATCCACAATTTATCAGTAAAAAAAAATCACTGGAGGACGGCAAGCATCACATAAAACTGATTTTATTAGATTAAAATATGACATCTAGAGCATCAACATCTCTGAAATAGCGCACCCTATCGGTTAAAAGTAGAAATATTATTCGAGAGATGTGATTTTCCGCTTTGAACACTAGAGAGCGATGATGTGCTTGTTAGATTTGCTAAAATATCAAACAGCTTATTTTGTGTCTGCTACTTAAACCACTATTCAATGCAGTTCATATCCAATTGATTATTTTTAAAAACAAGAAGAGTAATGGCAGGCGTAGAAGCACAGTGAAGGGTGGAATCAATATTTACTTATGAAAGTTATGTACAATATGATAAAAATAGAACATTTTAGTTGAGTTTATGGATGATATGCAATTGGGGAACCACTAAATTATAACAAAATTTCAGACATCACAATAACACACACACACACACACACACACACACACACACACACAGAGAGAGTGAAAACGGGGAATAAATGTGAGCAAAAACAAAAGGTGTGCGACCGGATCCAGTATGACTCCATCAGTCCTGGTGGATAAAGATCATCGTTTTCTGGGGACATTTTCATACACAGACTCCGTTTTTGATTTCTGAAAGGAAACACAAACTCAATCAGGAACTTGCCGAGAAATTAATAACAGACATATAATAACAGGTTTCATTCTTTTAATAAAACCTTTAAAAAACATAATTTTCTATCATTCCATACTATTCCAAAGGATGATCTTGCATGCTGCGTTTTTATTTTGAATACTGTAGACATTGTTGTACTGAGATGCTAACATAGAGCAGCAAGAGGAAATGACATCAATCATGAGTTTTGAAACGGTTAAATCATCAAACAGTTTTAGTTGTGCAGGTTTGCAGTCTCAGTCTGAGAACAACTGTCTTTTACTAAAGCAACAGCAGAGACTCTTGTTGCAGAACGTCTGCAAAGAAAGCAGTGTTAAAGCTGCAGTGCCTCAGATACTGATGAACCGCAGAGACGCTGCAGCTCGAGGACACACTGCAGCACAACATGAGGAACAACTCGGTGTCCTCCCAGCTAACAAAAAAAGGTCCCCAGAACGTCCCCTAAATGGCCTGTGCGAACGTCCCCGCGAACGTCCCCATGTGGAGTCCGCTTGATGTCCCGCGGACCTTCACGAGGACGTCCTCCGGACGTTCAAGAGGACGTTTACAGGACCACCAGCGGTCATTCGGGACGTTTAGGGGACTTTTGCTTAATTCGTTTTATTTTACTTTTTACCAGAAAAGAGCCAAAGAAGACACGTGAAAAATTGTAAGGAACAAAGTACATTTATTTTGAACAATTGTAGTGCGCGCGTGTGTGAACGGTTTTTTTAAAAAAAAATTTTTATTGAGAAATAAATCCAAGTATAAAATACAGTATAACAGGAATGCTTCGCATGACAGATATCATATTGACAGATATCACATATTGAAACATGTTTAAACAAATAAACAGGGATAACAAAAACAAAGGAGAGGAAGAACAAACAACAACAACAACAACAAAATAAAAACTAAATAAATATACATAAAAAAGCGCGTGTGTGAACGTGCGTGCGTTGTGTGTCTGGGGTGGGGGTGGGGGGGGGTGGGGGGGGGGGGGGGTCTGCATGGTCTCTGGACCTGGTTGTCAGCTGTGGCCGGGGTTACTCCGATGGAAATCCTTCCTGTTGGCTTCTAACCTAAAATAAAGAAATGAGCAACTATTATCTGAATATATGTTATCGTTGTGCATTTATGTGAAAATGCAAACATCAGGCAGCTTGATCTCTACATATAAGTTCATAATGTAACTCATAGCTTGCTTGGCGACTTTGTCGCACGCAATTTAGACAGCTATACTATTCATTAGGCCAAATACTCTATTCTTGTTTTACTTATGACATCATAGGCTATTTAAGTTAGGCTATCTAATGATATTTATAGATTTTTTTATTATGATCTTCTTTGATATTATTGGGATAAAGACTTTGTTACAGAATATCAAAGGGCATTGATTTCATATGTCCACTGTAAAGGAGATCAAAATTTAAATCATGTTTATCAGCCATTTTGGGAGACCCATATGGAAATAAATTATACACCAATATTCCTATGAAATGTTAGATATTTTTATTATTAAAATGTTTCTGATTCAAATTATTACACTTGTTTTTTCAAAGAAAAAAGCCCCATCTTATAATCAGCGTGTTATTCAATCGCACGTCAGATACAGAGGACAGAGTGTGTGTGCGTTTTCAGCTTCATCTGTCGTCACTGCTCGTCAATGTCAGAAATATTTGAGATGACCAATCAAATCAAAGTAGGAGGGCTTTTATATTCACAGACGCTGAGCGCGAATTTTACCAAAGTCGACACGTTTTTACGGGTCAAGTGCGAGATGAGATGTAAGTACCTAAACTAAACATTTCATATTTGACAACTGTTTTATATTATAAATGTTAACGTTATAACATTTTGAACTGAAAATGGGCCGTAACTTGATTCATGACCATTTCACAAGATGTAAACAACACTGGTCCAGAAACACTTCATGTTTCAGTTTGTAACTGTTTTCTTTTATTTCACATGTAAAGAAAACATCTTAAAGATGTTTGTTTAACTTTTTGATTCAGTTTTAAATGTTCTGTTGGTTGTATTTTATCCCAGCTTTAGTGTTAAAAAACTGAAACAGCAAGTGCTTCTGGACCAGTGTTGTTTACGTCTTGTGAAGTGGTCAAGAAACATGAAGCCGTTTTCATCATAGGCAAAAGATTAAAAATGAATGTTTACATATTGAGAATTAATATAGTAAAATTTGTAGCCATCAGTAAATTAAAAAAGTTCAGCTCTATGCAAAGAATGAATATGACATGGTTTTAAAGCTTTTTCTTATCCTTCAAATGTCTTGAACTTGCATTTTATATGAAAAATGTAATAGTTGTATTTTATTGACAAAATAGTATAGTTTTGCATTGCAGCGTGCATATTTTTTATTAGATCAAATAATTTTAATCTGTCATGGTCATGATCATGGTCAATATGGTCATGTTACATTGTACCTATAATGTAACTCTAATCTATCTAATGTAATCTAACCTATTATAATTGCTAGAATTAAATGTTATGCACTTGCCTGATTTGCTGTTTTTGCACGATCTGGGGCATGTTTCAGGGTCACAGCAATCATTTCCTCCACACTCTGGCTTTTTTGGTGTGGATATGCCTTACTGCATGCACCTTGATACATACAGAGATTACAGTTATTAAAACTTGCACTCAGATAGATGTTGAAAGTTCTAGTAAAACGCTTCAAAATTAAATCTTGTTTTCAAAATGAGTGCTATAAGTCTGAACGCTAAGACCTGAGAACTAACAAATTTTACATTTATACATTTAAGATTAATTTATTTACATTTTGGGGATTGACACATTATTAGTCATTATAAGTGGCAAGTTTTGAAACGTACGTATGATCACATCATTAATTAGGAGCTGCTGAAATTTAAGCTTTCCCTTTCTCCCTTTGTAGCTATAGTGTGTCCATAAAGAGTTATCTCCAATTTTTTTTAACATTCTCCTTATTCCATCTCCCAAGGTGCCTCCACTCTGAAGACACAGATAACGAATCTACAAACAACAAAGAACAGCAATTAATCACAAGAGTGGATTGTTTTTAGTATTTCAGGTTAGTAATGTTAATTGTGTTGTTATGTTACTAGTACTACCATCTTCTTTCGAAGGTCAGCATCCTTTAGCTTCTCACAGAGCTCTTCTAATTCCTCCACAGTCTCACAGGGTTCCTCTAGCACCTCTGTGAGATCAGAGACAGAGGTGCTTGGCTGCCTCATATTCTGCATTCTGAATGCTGATGTGATGTTTTCCTCGATTGCGTCTAGTTTCAGTATGATTCTCCTCTCCAAATTCTCAAATAACTTGTATATTTCTGTTCAGAATTTGTTTTGAAAATAATGACATAACTAACTACAGCAATACAAAAAAAAATGTTTGGGAGACATTTAAAGTTGATAGTTCACCCAAAAATGAAAATTCCTCATGTTGTTCCAACCTCGTAAGACCTTCATTCATCTTCAGAACACAAATTAAGATATTTTTGATTAAATCTGAGAGCTGGATCACTCCTGCATACTAGTCCATAGACTTCTTGAGGGATTGAAACTTGCTGGCCTCGAAAAGTCATTAAAGACATTGTTAAAATAGTCCAAGTGACTTCAGTGGCTCAATCTTAACTTTATCAAACGTCGAAAACACTTTTTTGTGCACAAAAAAGAATGACTTTATTTCAACTATTCATTTACTTCTCTCTCTGCCTCGAGTCAGGCTAATAGTTTAATAACGTAAGCTTCTGTTTTTGTACGTCACACGCATCACACACACATGACCATCGTCGGCCAATTGAGAATGAGGAGGTTACGTCACGCGTATAACTCCGCGGTGCATTTGTGGGAGGGATCCGCCATTTTGGGAGGACACGCTATCCGTTGTCATGGTAAATTCGACCGTGAGACTGAGAGAAATAGCGACAGAGAAGGAGTGCAGCTTGATATTTATTTGCATTTTTGCGATAAGGCACACTTTCTTGGGAATAAATGAAGCAAAAGAAAATTAAGGTCTCTATCGGGAGAGACTACATAACAACACTGAGCAGCGTTATTTAGAGAAACTACTTGACATCAACATACAGTAGGACCCGTACGACCTGCTACAGAATGGACGAAAGACCCGAAGCACTACCACCTTTCACACACCCTGACATAGTCAAGCACCTGGTTTATGGTAACAGTGCTTAACGTTACTGCTACACAATGCAAAGAGTTCAGAAGCTTTTAAGTCATTAGAAGCTTATGAACAATTCTGCTGTGGCTGGGTGCAAGAGAAACCCCAAACCTGTAACGCTAAACTGCGAGAATTCAGTCAAACTTCATGTTTCAGGCTTCATTCATATGTGGAAATAAATCTGATTTGAATCAGATACGTGCATTTGCACCTGCCATGCAACGTCAAGCAGATAGATAGGACATTCCCCTGTCAATGAGAATCGTACGTCATTAAAAAAAGTGTCTTTTTAAAACATTTCGCGGTACAGATATATCTATAATAAATTAAACAACTCTAGTTGAATAACAGAGTATTCATTTCGTTTGTTTGTGTTAAATAAAAGGCGAACTGAAATGTATTGCTTTTGAAATCATGCTTTTCTCACTGTTGCTCATGCTGTTGCTGCTGTCAGTTTATCCACAAGCAGTTTCTCTAAATAAAGCCGGCTAGCATTGTTATAGAACCACTTTCATTTCTCTTCCTTATCCATATCTTCCAAAGACACTGCCGTGTGTATCGCTAAAATGTAAACAAATACTGCGCTGTGCTGTCTCTCTCGCTATTTCTGGCATATTTAGTCGCGCCTCTGTGTAGTTCTGAAGGCGTTGCCCTTGGCAACCGATAGTGTATCCTCCCAAAATGGCCGACCGGCTCAGACCCCGCCCAAATCGGCACGTGACTCCTCACTCTCAATAGTGAGCCTACGTGTGACGTAGCTCTACGCTATCACACTACGTTAACTGACTACAGGCCCATAGAGAAGGAAGTGAATATTTGAAATAAAGTCGTTATTTTTGTTTGTTTTTGCGCACAAAATGTATTCTCGTCGCTTGATAAAGTTAAGATTGAGCCACTGAAGTCACTTGGACTATTTTAACAATGTCTTTAATGACTTTTCGAGGCCAGCAAGTTTCAATCCCTCAAGAAGCCTATGGACTAGTATACAGGACTGATCCAGCTCTCAGATTTAATCAAAAATATCTTAATTTGTGTTCCGAAGACGAACAAAGGTCTTACGGGGTTGGAACAACTTGAGGGTGAGTAAATACTGACAGAATTTTAATTTTTGGGTGAACTAACCCTTTAATAAAACTGACTGTAAGATAATTTTGAGGAAATTAAATAGTTACCATCTCGAAGAGATTGTGGATCATTCACACTCCCTAACAAGTCACAAAAACATTATTCAGATTAACATCTGTATCAATGTGTCATCAAAAAACAACAACAAAAAAACATTTTAATGTACCTTGATTCTGAAAGTTGGCAGAAATGGACTGATGTGGCTGCAGTTGTGATGAAGGAGATGAAACTTTAAACACATAAAATAAATCATTAGATTAAAATAAAAATGTATGTAAGACCCATTTTTAGTCCAACAGTTGAACTCTTGTACATGCTTGATCTGTAGTTGTTTTTCTTTTTATAAGCCAAAAAAATGTTATTAGCATATGTGTAAATCATGTGACTACAGTATACATTTGAAAACAAAGTATACAGTATTATACCACAAATACTGGAATATTCCTTTCATTCAATGGTACTTCCATTGGGGCAACTATATGACTAAAAACATTTAAATGTACTCACAGCGAGGTGCTTCAGGCAATATAGACCTTTTTGTTATTTTTGTTATAGGTTGTACTTCATCTAACATAAAGAAAAAAAACTGTGAGTAGAAAAATAATGATAAAATAAACATATCAAAGTAAATCCGAGTGATTTTACCTTCATCAGGCTCCTCAGCTAAAAAACAACAACAACAACAACAACAACATTAACAGTCTTTGAAAGTTTTTTTAATATATATTTCTAAATGTGTAGGCCTTCTTTTGAGTTTTTTGCACAACATAGAAAGGGACTTCTCTGTACTCTTCAAATTATCATCTAACATATAATTATAATCAAATATTCAACAGTTTTTTTTTAACACTCTACTTACACTCAGATCTAATTGGTGTCGATCTTGACCGTTTTTGGGTTTTCTTTGCTCTCAAGCTGGACAGCTCATCTTCAGAATCAAATGCAATAGGGAAAGAAAAAAGTTTTAATATAAATTAGAAACAGATGCAAAATGTCTCTGTTCTAAATCCTTTATCATGCCTGCTGTTTAATAATTTAACAATATTTAACATGGATGTAATGACAGTAACATACTGATTTCACCTTGGGATGATTCACTGTCCTCCTGAACTGTAAAACAAAATGATCATTTAAAGAAAATATGTATAGACAACATGCATTTGACTTTCCTTGATCATTTCAACTTCATTTGTTTAATGATGTATGTACTGTATACTTACAGTGTTGTGCTCTTCTGGGCTGGATTTCTTCTTCTGCAAAAAACAAAGTTAAAACTGAAATTGTCTTTCAATGTGACCAACCTTAATTTATTTACAGTGTGAGCACAGATCTAATACCTCTGAATCGTCTTGGTGGGATGATCTTTCGTACACTGTTTTCATCAGAGTCCTCAACATGAGAGGTTTCCATTGCTTTTTGGACCCGGTATCTGGCCAGGTTGTAATTGTCTGCTCTCAAAATAGCACAACTTTTGCTTAATATACATTATATAAACAATTTATATTTTATGAATGTTGCCAGTATTTGATGAGCTTGAAGATAGCCTTGTTTTTTACACTTTACCTGTGTCAGAAAATACTCTGACTGCATATTTTGTCCAGAGGTGTTCGTCTCGAATGGCACATTTTTTGACCTTGGTCCCAACATTTGAATTGGGCCAATAGCAAAACAGTACCTTTCAGACAGAAACAAGGATGTTTGCTTAATGTTTTCTGTATATAGTTGACTTTGTTTTAATGTTTATCATTTATAAATAAATATAATATCTAAATCTTACCCCATCGATCCACTCTAGCCATGAGGATGGTGCCACCTCGACCTCATTTTGCTCAATGAAATTGAGTACTACGTAGCGGAGATAAATCTGTAAGTAATATTCAGATAACTCTGTTAGTTCAGCTTGCAATACAAAAATGTTATGTACACAATTAGCTATTAATAGACAATTATTTGCTACTTTCTCTAACCTCATGCTTAAATTATATTTTTCCAATGTTGTTTTTTGTTGTACTGGAAACATCTAGGTTTTCAAAAGTTAATGGTGCTGGATAGCCAATCACTAGAAGAGGCAGGAACTCATGGGGCAAATCTTCAAAAGGCAGAGACTCGGGGTGCAAAGCTTCAGGAGCCAGACACTCAGGGATGAAGCCAAAGGCGTTAGACACTCAGAGGGCAAAGCTTTAGGAGGCGAAGACTCAGGGATAAAAGATGTAGAGACTCGGGGGACGAAAGGAGTACTTCAAGTATGTATTCTCACTCAAATTGTCATTCTCTCATCATTGTCAAGCTCTAGAAAGTATGAAGAATGGACACCACAATTTTGGTCCCATAGTTTTCCTCCACAATGAATGCCCTCGTCTGAAGTGACTGTTTTTCTAAGCTGAGCATTTTAGAATGCCTAATGTTAACGGTGTATGTTCCATAGAGACGTGAATCACACGGCGTCATCAGATATGGCTGTAGATTTGTGTACACTCTGCATAACACTGTGTTGCTGTCTTCTTCTTCTGACACCACCTCGCAACATTGTTCAGGGCTTAACACAAACACATTGTTTGGGCACTTGACTGACATCAAGATTGTCTTGTTTTCCATCTTGGACTTTGATCTTTCCTCCAGTCGATTTGCAACTTGTGCAAAACATTTTTCCCAGACCGCACCATTTTCTTCATCTGATGAAGATAGCTCTCAAATTTAAACGCACTGCAGTTATCAAGGCTGCCAAAGTTTGGGCATCTTCTGCAAGTGCAGCAAGGAATGGACATTGTAAACCAAAAATGTCTCTCCATACAGCTCCCGTCCTCTCTCCACAAAATATTTCAGCAGCTGGTTTGCATAAGGTACTTGTGACTTTGTAAGGTCTGGGCTCACTAAAATGCAAAGAGCTGTGCTGAAACACAAGAAGTGTTCATACAGCTGATCGTTGAGAACTCCCTTTAGAACAATCTTCCCAGTGTACAAAGCAAACTGTCTGAACTCTGTTGCTTTCCAGCGTTCAATTTCATTCAAACCCCTTGGCTTCCTGGCAAAACAATCAGGAATGGACTTCTTTAGTGTAACCAGCCTCTCACTTACTCTGGTCACATCTCCTGATGACATCCGCAAATCTGTTCTACCTCTTGTCCACAAAAGCAGCAACTTTTTCATTACCCAAGACAGCTCTGGTGCATATAATCTATGGGGAAGGATTTTATCATGTCAATCGGGAGGACAGAGAAGGGTGAGATCTGCTCTTCTTGATGGTGTTCAGGTTGCCAGCACTCCCTCAATGATTCATCTGTCCTCATGGTCAGAGTTATTTGTTTCTTGATATGTAATCCTACCACGCCAGGATCCCTCTGGTTGCATCTATCGCACCATAGTATCCAGAAAAAACTGCTTTACACACTTGACCATAGCTTTTGCTGGAGCGTCGCAGGTAATACATCTTACTTGGATGTTTAAAGCATCTGCCTCCCCAGGTCAGACCATTCTGGATTAGTTCTCCCAATTCCTGAATAATGTCATCAACAAAGTTTAGTGTTTTGGTTTGGATGCAGCAATGGATATGCAGAGGGGGAAAATGCATTCGGGTGACAAGTTTATGGAACAGAGAACTGGCCAGAGGGATAGGTTTGTGCTTTTGAACAATGGTAGCCCATCAATGTTCATCGAAAGGTCAAGTGACTGCAGATGCTCTGTCACAGATGCAGGATATCTGCTCAGATGCTTTGACAGTTGATCTGCCACATTAAACTTAACACTCTCGACACCATCTTTGTTAGAAAGTTCATAGTGTTTTCGTTTCCAAAGAGTGTCCTTGCTGTTTGGGGAGTTCTTCATGTCCATGTTTTTTAAGTATGCTTAAGATAGCATCCAAAGCATTATGTTTAATTTGAAATGCACATGCCATTCAGATAGTTGTTCTCTGAGAGGCATGGTTATACCTGTCTTGTTCACTCTCAGAACTTGACAGGGTTGGATCTGAAAAAAACATGATTTTCCTCCTCAAAGAGCTGGTTGTGACTAAAACTTTCAGTATCAGGAACGCTGGCCATCTCATCTGAACTGACAGTTTGTTTGTTGGCTGCCTCTCTTTGTGCCCTCGACACTCTTGGTCCAAAATTCTTTTTGTACTGCCTCCTACGCTCTTTGGATGTCATCAAGCTACTGTACTGGT